AAAAAGATGATGATATAATAAAGAAATCTAAAGCAACAGCAGAGAGTCAGCCCCAATTAGATATAGTCAATGGAAAGGAAATCACACCATTAGAGTTCCACAGAGAACGAGGAACTTTAATTTTTGCAATCATTGTTAATCATTGTTAATTGTTATTATCACTCAACAATATCTATGTCTTAAATTTTTTTTTTTTTTTAAGGGGCGCAAAAATCATTTTCCATTCACCTCTCATTCTTTTTCATTTCCACACCCAACAGGATCAAAGAAATGTTCCAACTAAATGTAGGATACAGAAAGGATCTGCATGAACATTTAATTGTCAAAAGACTTTTAAAATCTGCAATCCAAACATGATTAATGAAATATTACAACCAACAGAAAAGCTAAGTGGCCTTAAAATGAAAGATGATTTATGTGATCAGTTTTCTATCAAGAGCATAGCGTACTCATTCAGATTGGATTGCGATGAATTTTTTACCAAGTTTCTTCCTCCACGTCCTCTTTGAAGGCACCATAACAGTCTCCTTGTGGCTTTCAGCAAATGGTGTTTCAAGGGAAAGTCCTTTGTGGATTTATGGAGATTGAAGAGTCGTTTTGAATTAAAGAGTTTACAAAGAAAAACGCCATCTCAGATATCATGTAAGGTTCTTATTATTACAAGTAAATGTCAGTGTTGTCAGCATGAAAACAGAATTTTAAAATCTGAATAGTTCAATGTCAAATATGCTGAGAAAATAATATTAAGGCTGCATTGAATGATCTACTGACATCATGAACTTCTGATGAATCATACCCATCATCCGATGTCAGGCAAGCACTCTAAAAAGGAAAGTTCCCAATTGAAAGGATAAAGAATGAGAGAAAAATTGATATCTTACACCTCAACCGACAAGTTTACAAGGATAAATGCTAAAAATATATACAAGCTATTATGATGATGCAAGTACATTTTGTGTTAGTACATATAACACAATTCATTTGAACACCAAAATAGTCAAGTCAGATGCGAACGTGCAAGAAATTTACATACCTAGCTTTAAGAAGTAAAAGGATGGTGAACACTTCCAGACTATTGTACCCTCTATCAACAAAGTCTCCCTGCAAAACATTTAGGATCAGATAAAGTATAAAACTTACCTTCATCCGTACAGTTTCTTGACAGAAGTATGGCACATACCATAAAGATATAATTTGTCTCAGGTACATGACCCCCTGTCTGGAAAAGTTTCATTAGATCATGAAATTGGCCATGAATGTCACCACAAACAGTTACCGGGCTATTCACAGGCTGCACATTCGACTCCTCAATGAGAATCTCTTTTACCTGAAATATCATGCAACACTAGCTGTAGGCGCAATCATGGCTTATCGAATATTTAATTGTTCAGAAGTTACAATACAAAAGGAAGCACTTCTCCAGTCAAGACAGAAAAATCTCAAGATGCACAGACAACAAACCTGAGACCAGAACTGCAGAAATATTGCAGGTATAGTCTTGTAGAGAAAACACAAAACAAGAAAATGCCCCAGCAAGAGATATCAAGTCAAACGGGTCAAGAGATCGTTATTTTCCTACTACCCTCCGAACAGCTCGAGTCTTATTCCACACAGACCCTTGAAACAAGACATATAGGCTGGTAGCTTACCAGAATAACCGCCCTTTTACGCCAACAAACTTGACCATGGCTCACTACACCCAAAATAACCACAAACAGCTGGTAGAGAGACCAACTACAACCACTGTGCTTGAGCTATATAACGCAATGAAGCACCAGATGATTTGCAAATTCTTCCAACTCTTCATGAAATATAAAAACTCAAAGCCAATAATTCTAGGCGAGAAAGAATGATAATTCTGTGATGGTAGAAAATAAATGAACTGAGGGCAGATAATTTTGAGCCCAAAAGTGAATGAGACAACTTTATACCCTACTTCTTGTAAAACACTGCCCCCTTGCAAGAAATCAATTGAATGCATGAGTAAACCGTACAAACCCTATTCATAGAGAGAGTGAAAAAGCGAAATGCTTACATATTCGCAAAGAAGCTGAAGCTCGTCTTCCAGCAGATGCTGCCCTTCCTTCACCTTCGCGATCCACTGGTCCAAATCCATCTCTCTTACCTGCCTTTAACACTGCACCTCTCGCTGCGTGGAAATTGCTTTGGGCTACAAAACCAATAGAGAAAGCGGAGAGATCCGAAAGGGGCCGAGGAATTTCAATCGACAAACAGATACCCGTATCTGACAATATTGTGGATTTTAATTTAATATCTGGAATCTGGAATTTCTTGAATTTGAGCTAATAAAATTACAAGTGGCTCACGAATTTATGTTAATTAAGTATAATCATTATTGTTGGCAAAAAAGTTACAATCATTATCATTATTATTAGTCAAAATTAGATTAATGTTAATTATTTATTAATTATTTATAATTTGTTGTCAAAATTCTAAATAATTTTTTTATTTTACGAAATTAATTAAAATAAAAATTCAGATTTCATGTTTCCCTAATATTGGTAATACCTTAAAGCTCACAAAAAATATTAGCAAACCTTACTAATTATATAATCTTAGAAAATCATTTGATAATTTAACCATCAAAAAAGATATAAAAGTTTAGTAATTTTTAATTGAATTTTGCACTTACAACTTATGATTTTCTTTTGATACACTGGAAAAAAAAAACTTACAACTCAATTTTTTTTGATACGCTGGAAAGAGAAAAGGAAAAGAAAACACTATGCACCTAGTCTCTTAGTTCTAGGTCTAAGAAAATCAACAACGAATCAGCTTGAAGCGTTTGCAATCTAATAGGATTTCTTAAGGCTCTTTTAGCAAGAGTGTCCACTATAATGGTGGTAAGCCCATCACCTAAACGTCTACCTGCAGTCCCACTTAATCATTCTTTTGATCTTAGAGATGGTTCTCCAATCACTTAGTGTATAACGTACGTTATCACAAATCAGTTGAACAGCCTCATCTGAGTCACTTCTTAGGAGAATTTTCCTTGCTCCCGGATCCCACACTCCTTTAAGACCTACTAAGCATCCCCATAATTCTACAACAAGGCAGTCTCCTTCTTCATGTCTGAACATGAAATTTTCAACTATGTAGTTATCATTTTCCTTCAAGATGCCACCAGATGCAATTGTTTGTTGGCTGTAGGAGAAAGAGCCATCAACTTCTACTACTAGAGTGTCAGCTATGCTATAATAATTCCTTTGTCTCTCTTGGTTGTGGTGGCTTGCCATATTCCCTCCAATGAGCTTGCTGCGAGCTTTAGCCATACACATGCATATAACTTTTACTCTAGCCATAAGGTCGCTTATGCACATAGTGCTCCCTGAATGAACAACTTCATTTCTGCCTTGCTGATAAGTCTCATGTTTTAATTCCTAGTCCAAACTTATGCTTTGGTGCTTTTTAATTCTGTAATTTGGGTTAAGATAGAGGTTAGTGTGTATCAAGGGTATAAGAGTCAATTGTGTACTTTTATATGATAATTCTTAAGTTTTATTCATTTATGGCTCTTATGTGTCCCACATGTAAGGAATTGAAAGACACGTAGCGGAAAATAACTTTAAAATTTTCCAATCCCTTACTCGGATCTACCGATTGTATTTAAGTCAAATAGTAAGAGGTGTTACCTACGGTATTCGAATCGTTGGTGGCTCGGGGATTCCGACGTTCAGGATGCCTATGCTCTTCTTTTGTTCGTGAGAAGTCCACAACTCAAATCGGCTTCCTCTACCGGTATCCACACGAACAGCGTTCCAATCACGAACGACGTGCTAGCGCCTCTTGTCCTTCTAGGGCTTTTCCGAGAATCCATCCTCACTGTTTCTATTTTGGCTATTTCTTATCTGCAAACCTTTTGCTCTCTCACACACCTAAAACCCTAGCTCCTAAATATCAAATATATAGGATGCTATCGATATTATGAAGGATATTGGATTTCAGAATTAATCCTAAATTAATTCTGAAATTAATACAATATCATATATTGGGTAATCTGATAAGAGATCAATTAAATAAATACAGTTTATATTAAATCCGTTCCACAGATTTAATTCACCTATTCATTTAATTCAAAATAAAGATATGACGGAATTATATTGATTTATTCTAATAAATCAAATTTGAGATATTATATTATACCATATCAATCTAGAACTGATATAGATTTAATTTATCCTAATAAATCAAATCTAAGATATCATATCAATCTAAATTTCAAATTTAAAAGTGATAGAGATTTAATTTATCCTTATAAATCAAATCTTATAAATATCTCTTATATCATGTAATATATATATATATATACGAATTTATATATATACACACGTCCACCCTAGATTATTCATTAAATCTGGACATATCTTAGATTCAATGAATCTGGACATCATAGCTCGTGTTGGGCTATTTTGTGTGCGACCCTGTAGTCTCATATGAAATTGGCAGTGGACCATTTACTATAATGACTCACAAGTCGTAAGCGGTCTCTAGCAAGACATCACGACTACCCAAATCATATGAGGATCGATGAACGATGTAACCTTTCATACAACCATATCACGTCCCTTTTATCACACGACATTTTGGTCATGGATGAGGCATGGAGAACGTCATTCTCCTATTCCTGACCGTTACTTTCTCGATCCCTGAGTAGTCTAAGTATAGAAATGGAACTATCTTTCCATTATAGTATGGCCATACATTTCTCAGACTCACTCATCGAGGGGGCCCAGTAATATCTCTCTATGAATGTGAGGGACAAATTCCATCTTGACCATTCATATTCCTCCATATGAAAAACCACTAAACCTGAACATAGTCTTTATGATCACTCGGTCAAAAGTGACTTTTGACTAGGTCAAAGCTAAGCGTTTCTCATATAGGAATCCATGATAATCTCAGGTCAAAGGGCATAGTGACATGGTTTGTATATGAGAGAAGCTTATGACTTAACCCATGCAGCTCTCTCATAGCGGGTCAGTCTAACACCTTGTACTCTTACATGTGTTTATGACTTTGATTTATATCTCTATACATCTTCAAAGTCATACTGGTCTTATTTCATCTCTGTTCCCACATAGATGACCGACCAGGGACATTTAGGATACAATCATGAGTTATCCAAGGATAGTCATCACAATAAACATGCAAATAATATGATAACATAATTAAGAAATTCATAAATCAACAATGTTCATAACACAATGATTGGCCCCTAGGGCACAATTTCCAACACCACATACCCTAGAATAGATGACTATGAACTTAATTTGAATATTGTAGGTGATTAGAGGATTGAAGGAATATTGGAAGAAGGTTCTACCTCACTTCACCATGACAAAATATGGGATTTGCCACGACTAATGGTCATTATGAAGGAAACAACATCATTTATTCATACGACGTCGTTCTGACTTCGCCGCGATGAACAACTTCCTTCATCACGGTGAAAAAGCGAAATTTCCAAATTTAATTCCAAAACGCGTGCTAGATCTGTCATTCCGTGATTTCTTTAGTTCTGGCTTTGTTTCCTCCGTCCAGGGCTCTACCATTTTGTCTCTCATCACCTCCATACCATTCTCCATCATCAATTCATCATTTCTACCCTAATCCTTCTATTTTCTACCGATTATTCTCCTCCATTTCCCTTCACATCGTTGCAGCTATGACCATTGAAGTTGTAGAGCTCGATGAAGCTGTGATTTCAATCATGAGAGGCTAGATCTTCATTCTTTGATGTTCAATGAAGCCAATCTGAGTTCCTAAAGCTACAATTGGGAGTTTCTTCTACCTTAATCTTAGTTTCACTCTCTACATTGATAGATTGTAGTTTCTATGGTTTAGATATGTGATTTGTGATTATAAAGAGATGTAATTCGGTTGTTTTACATTGAGATTGAGATTTGGATTGTATTCTGCACTTTAATTGATTAATTGAATTGATATTTCTTTCTATTATATTGATTCTTTCTTCTCAAGTGTTTGAATCTCTTGATTGACCGATTAGGTTTCTAACATTGTTAATTAAGAGAGTAAAATACTTCTTGCAAAGCATGATCCATATTAGGCATTTAGATGAGTTTGGTGAATTAGGGTTCTAGCTTATTGAATTCATTGTCTGTAGAAGGTCTTCACAAATCGAGTCTAATAAAGGAATTGAAACTCAATCAAGTGAGGAACTAGGATGATTGGTGGACGTGATCATCAAGGATAATTCATACAGTGCATTTATTTTATTCATTAAATACATAAATTACAAAGAGTTTAGATAGTTTTACTTTGGTTTGGGTTTAGTTACTGGTTACACAAATACTTCATACTTCATACTTGGTTAATTTGATATTTGTGATAAATTATTAAGACATTCATAGGTTCCTCAAGAGATCGACATCTAGGTTAGTGTCACTTTATTGCATTTAGTTTAGTTTTATTTGATAGTCTAACAATAGGGCTACATCACTTGCCAAATAATCCAGATAATAACAGTAAATATCTCTTTCCAACTACCATCACATAGTCCTACTTTCTTCCACATGTTTAAAAGAGCTACTCTTGAACGGTGCTTAAGTAGAATTCCTACAGATAGGTGGGTTTCACAATCGAATCCTAGAAGCTTCAGATATCTCTACAATTTCAAAGAGCATGGAGTTCATCTTCTATACTTTTTTTACATCTGTCATAGTATCCTGTTTGGTGTAATCCTCATTTCCACTTGTGTTTATTGGTTATCAACCGTTCGTGTCTCAGTATCTAGGTAAAGCTTTTGCAACGTTTTGGAATTCTAAGCTTCCAGGGCTTCACCCATGCACGTGAAGATGGCATATTTCTTTTGTTCAATGTAGAATACGTTGACTTAGTGCTAAAAATCTTGCTCCATTCCCACTTCCACTTGACACTTCTTTTGCCAGTTTGGGGTTGTACTTTCTGGATGTCACTAGTAACATTATTCCAAGTGCTTTTAATTTCCCGCCATGCATTTGACCTTGATTTCTAGAGGTTGATATTAGGAAGGAGATCATCCTCGCACCCATATTTACTTATAACTTATAATTCAATTGTTGGTTGGTTGCATTTGTTGTATCATATACTAACTTCAGTCTTTAATATAAGAGCTAGTTGACTAATTTATGTAGATTAGGGAAGGTTGTTAAGTTAGTTACTTGTAATAAGTATGTTTTATCTTCCTTAGAATACCCTTGCTAATTATGTGTATTA